TTTTCTTGTTATGTAACAGATATATATATATATATATAGACATATAAGTACGGAGAAAGTACCGCAACAATATATCACGTAGTCGTTTTTATACTCTTTTTCACCCAAAGAGAGTGGTAGTAGTGGGGGGATTTCAGTGCGAAAGCGACATTGCGCAAATAAATCTTCGTGTGAGCAGTACATACCAAGCATTTGAACATCGGTTGACACAGTATGGGAGAGAGAACGCGGCATACGATATACATACATTTAAGTGGACACACACAGAATCACAACAAGACGTGCAGCGTTAATCCATCTATACTGTTGGAGATGCCCAAAGCAATTCACTGCGTTGCTGAGTAGCGACTGTAATTACTTGCGACAGTTGTAGTCCAAGCATCTCAAACCAAACAGCATATACTAGCAGCGCATACACGAAGTGTGAGCTAACAAGATGTAACAAGATGTACACACTAACAAGATGTACAACTCAAACATTATACAGCGTTGCAACATGCTTGATGGAACCGCTTGAGTTGGCTAACAGTTGCCTGGGACTGTTCTTATGATCAGCCTATTTCGCACACATGGCAATTTGTGATAAACGTGTACAGCAAACAAAGTACAGACAAACATACACAAGCCCTACAGCAGCATTGGTTCACACGTACAACAAGAAGTAATAAACACATGCGTACCCAATAGAGTAATATTGATACACACGCACAACAAGAAGTACAAGACAACTGTATGTTGTACGCTTACCGTGGCCACATGCTTGATGGAGCTGATTGATTTGGTGAGCAGCGACTGCAGTTGGCGAGGATTGTTCATGTGATCTGCCCATCGCAAACACATGAACAGAATGTACGCAATGATGCCGTGCGGGCGACTGTCGAGCAGCTCACTGGGATCGACGTTCACAATCAAATCCTGTACAAAGACAACGGCGACAGTAACGGTGATCGCGTCAATGATATGTAACAAATGCATGTGTGGGGTGTGTATGTGTGCTTGTATGGGGAGACGTTCAATGTGTACGAGTGTATGGCTTAGGAGTCTGCAAGACACCGAGGAAGACTTGCAAGGCCTAAAGTAACACACAAGAGGATAGAACCCCGAGACTGAAGGCAAGGGAGAACATGTGTTATGCCAGACCATGTCATTGTTCTATTATTAGAATTGGGGGAAAAGCATAAAAAGACTCGGGCTGACGGTGGTAAATTCTCAGGGAAATGTAGCCCTATATATATTGAGAGCACAGAAAGCAGAAAAAACGAGGTTACGGTGCGTAAAAATCTATTTATAGATACGAGGACACAGTGCGCACATCGTGAGCTATTTATAGCACGGTGGACTCCTAATTTATATTTTTAGAGCAGACCAAAACAGTGCCGAGTGCATCTTACCTGTACAAGCGCACGTTCGTCTTTCTCCTTGAAAATAAACATCCCCACGGGCTCGTTGGCATCGAATTTAGGGTTATCCATTTCTGTACGCCATGGATTGAGTATACCAATTCGGGAGTGAACATACGAATTACGCGGGTATAATAAACGTACTACCATACAACTATACACAGGCATGCAGTCTGCAACGACGATCGATATGCGACTCACACAAAGTGCGCTCAGGAAGAAAATCTGAGAAAGAACAAACAGGATATGTAGTGTATAGACGTGCGGTGGCGGATACAACCTTGGTTTGAATGAAGAACACACACTGTACTCAAACTTATTCAGAAAGAGACCCATTGACGGAATACAATAGACAAGGCAATCTGTAGGCATGTAATGACGACTACAGGCTTGGCTTCAAAGAAAAAAACACACCAGCAATATCGATAGAGATAAATTACACAATCAAGCGATTGTATTGTAGAAAGGAGCTATAGGTCCACGCACTCAGATAGCTACAATTCATCTGCATACATATATACCAGCGATACAACACACAGACACAGACACTGAGTACTGTACAACACCAATACACATACACACTGCACTTCACATTCACAGTATGTCACTCGAGGGATTCGACTTTAGAGATACTGCGGACCTGTTCTACGTGTGTCGAACCCTCCTTCGAATCTCAGGTCGTCGTCGTATGGGGGGAGGGGAATAGGGGTGGGGGCAATACAGGTGTTCTCCTGCTCATCTGAGCTTTGGAGCACTCCGCTGGCCTGACAGGAGTGCGGTATATACATTTATATATACGTTTAACAGACGGACAACATTAACACACACCGATACAGTGAAACGCAACATGCGCATTACACAGTAAACACACAGATACACACAAAGAACAGGTGTGGAGGTTTATGAATATAAGCAGTAGGTAAAACCAGAGATGCAGATTCGAAAATCGCTGGTACCTAATGGAATGGATAGTCTGCAGAAACGGCAACGACAACTGACTGAGCTCTGAGATGGATATACGCAATCACGGATGTGTGACCCAGGTCATTCGTGCAACATATACATACATTATATATATACAAATAAAATAAAATTTATATTACACACTTCTTTCTGAAGTGAGATGTGTATACTCCATTGCGGCTATACAAAGTAGACTATATATAAGATGTTAAAATAATATACATATACACACACACACACTTCCTGTTGAAGTACAAGACGTGAGATGTGTGTACTTCATTGCGGCTATACAAAATACACATACATACATACACACATACACAAACACTACCACAATAGCATAGGTGCGACGTATACACACTCATATACATACAGCACACACGTACACACACACATAACCATTACCACACCAGCGTCGTAGTTGGACTGTTGCAGCAGCCGCTGTATCCGGTCTTTGATTGCTTTGACCTTCTCTTGGACTTTATTCTCCTGCTCTAGATTATCAGAATGGCCTTCGTTAGCCTGCCAGGGTAAACAGGAAAGAAAGAGGGTGTAGATGTGAGTATGGTGTATGAATGAGACTCGCATGCCAGGAGAGAAAGGAGGGTACGAGAGTGTAGGCGTATGGTGTAAAACTAAGACCAAATATAATACACGATACGATGCAGCTTATGTATAATACACATTACAGCCCATGTATAATACACATTACAGCCCATGTATAATACACATTACAGCCCATGTCTAATACGCATTACAGCCCATGTATAATACACACTACAGCCCATGTCTAATACGCATTACAGCCCATGTATAATACACACTACAGCCCATGTCTAATACACATTACAGCCCATGTATAATACACATTACAGCCCATGTATAATACAAATTACAGCCTTACAGCCCATGTA